CCAAGGCTGTAAATTCTACCTCCAAAATACTCCTGCCGTCCCTTCACCCTCCCTTTCCATCCATCTCCACACTAACCTCCCTAGTCTAAGCACCACTGACCCCCACCGAGACCCCTGCTGTGGTGTCCTCCCTGGTCTTGCTTATCTGCACCATGTTCTGCAGGTGGCAACCAGAGAGGGCCTCCACCAGCAATAGCAAATCATGTGACATGCCTGCATGGACTCAACAGAGCCTTTCTGTGACAAGAGACATAAAACACACAATCCTCGGGGCCAGACAGCAGTGCAGGGGTGAAACGTGATGCTCTGCAAGGCTGACCCACACAGGAGGATTTCCTTGTAGCCTTTAGACTTCCCTGAGTACTTGTGGCACATGCACGCCCATGATCCAGGCTGGCTGAGGCTAGGACTGGATCACAGCATGGAGACCCTGCTGAGGGTTCTGTGTCTCTCTCTTTCTCACTCATGGAAGAAATCAGTAAACTTTTTTTAAAAAAATGCACAGTCCTCTACAAACCATCACAGGGTTTCATGTGTTGGCCCTGATGAGCACACTGACCACACCCATCCAACCAGGCCCTTTCACTTTCCAAGTCTTTTCTCCTTTCCCTGTCTTATCCAGTGCACCAACTTCTTTTCCCTCACGGGCTTCCACTGTGCTTTTCTCTGCTCTTCCTTTCTGTCCTGCTCCTTACCTGGATAGCAGTTACTCATCCTCAGAGATCTTGACTGACCCACAAATCCTTATGAAGCACTCCTGTTGGTCTTCCCTGTAGTATTTATGCATGTATTTAGGGGATGAGCTGGTATCTGTCCCCTCCCTGAAGGTAGGGATCATGGCAGTACAACCACCCCATACACACAGCACACAGTCAACCCAGCAGACAAAATGCCTTGCCCCCATTTAAGCTCCTTCATTCATTCCCTACTCAAAAAAAAAGAAAAAAAAAAACAGAGCAGGGCAATGTTGACTTAATCTAAAACACTACTGCCATAATCATCTTAAAGGCTGTCATAATTATTTACATGCCAAACCCTGTGTGTAAAGGTGTAGTATTGCCTTTTTGTCCCTCTAGTTAAATACTTTTTCTGGCTAGATACAGTGACAAAGAAAAGAGGTGCGTGCATTGCTTCTCTATTTCTCAGGAGGTCACCTGATTCTTTCCAAACAATGTATTAGTCAAGTATTAATTGTGGCAGCAACCATACTTTCATCATGTAACATCCATCTTCAGAAGGGATGTCTACGTATATTCCAAGACGTCTAGCCTTCTTTAGAGAACGCTTTGCATGTGAGCTCAAACTAACACAAAATGAAGAAGAAAGGATTTAGCAGATGACACTAAGCAAGACCCTCACTGCAATGACATCCTCCTCAAAATGCATGCACAGGCCAGGGGGGCAGAGATGAGACAGCAAGGACAGGCACAGCGTAAAGGCTTCGTTTTTCCACTGCTACCATGGAAAATAATTTGTATCACTAGATACAGGATAAATTCTCCTAAGGTATAACTTTTTTTTAAAAAGTAATACAAATTCTTAAACAAAAGATGAAATAGGATAAATTCTCCTAAGGTATAACTTTTTTAAAAAAAGTAATACAAATTCTTAAACAAAAGATGAGTTTATGAGTATGGATAAACTAAAGAATTTCATTTCTCCCATATAACTTCCAATTCATTGTCTGAAGTACAATGTAATATCAATATTTATATTACTTGCTCTGAGCACCCATTTGGTGTACGTGAATAGTACCCTGTTTTGTTTTGTTTTTATTTTGACCTAAATAGTTTTTATCAGGAGGAAGGTTTTTGTGAAGAGAGTTTTTGTTTTTTAGTTTGTTTGTTTGTTTGTTTAACTATAGAGCATGTACACTGACTAAAAAGACAGAGAAACAGAAACCGAGAAATCACCCCCCCAGGGGGATATGGCCACACCCCAATACCTTCTCCTCCATTTTCCTCTCACGATTTTTCTCCTCCATTTTCCTCTCAGGATTTTGGACGCTCACGCATATGTGCCCGTCATGAGATTCAAGCTACCAGGTCTGAGACTCAAACCACCATCAGTCATGTGGGAGTTCAGCGAAGTAACCATTATGCCATTTGCTAGTTCCCAAGACAAGGTATGTTTTCTAAATAAACTATCTTCAAAATATTTTTTAAAATGCTAAAACTTGCAAATGTTTTGTAAACTATAAAATGTTATCCAAATGAAAGAGAGACATCTGTATTCCTAAAACAGAAAGCAGCACATTACCAACGCTCGCACTGAGGTGTTACCACTGAAGTTACCTCCTTCTGGCCAAGTCCCACTACATCTACTCAGCTTAGATTGTTCATCAGCAACAGACAAGACTCGTGGTGTGGCGTTCTCTCCCCTGGTCCTCCCCTAGCTTCCCTGTTACTGTGACATCCGGTTTGTCTCCCTATCTGACCACTTCTTTATTCTCTCTACCCTTCCCAGGGAACGGACAATCCTCACAAACTGTTCTTTTCTCACTCTTTGCTAATTTATGTACTCTATTCTCCTGCTTTTAATCATCAGTTGTATAATCCCTATGTCCTAGCTGCCTTTATCCTGGCCTAACCTCACAGTTCAATTCTCCCATGAAAATGATTTCGGCACTCTTTCAATTCAGTGTTTTGTAACCTAACAGACCTGCTCCGCCCTACTCCCAACCCACCAAACCTGGTTCTCCTAACTCCCATGGTTCACCAGCAGCAGCACTCTTTCTTAATTAAAACAATTATTTGAATGAATGAACACTTATCCAACAGTGATTTTCAATTTCTCCCTCAGGGATAGAGGAAAGAAACCTAGATATACTTGAAAGAGGAATGGGGAGTAGGGGGCTGGGCTGATCTGACTCCTTGGTCAGACCATGGGTGGCTGGTGTTTCCCAGACAGTCTCCCAAGCCTCATTTTGGCTCTACCTGTTCTTCACAGTTAGAACTCTGGGGCTTTCTGCCTGCAATTGTCCTTCATTATCAGATCGATCTTCCTGACTGCTGCTTTTAGCACCTTGTGCCTCAGCTCAGTAGCTGCCTGTTCACTATGAATCTGTCCTACATCCTATGAATATTTGTTGAGTATGCACTTACCCACGTGTCAAGTACCATGCCAAGCTCTGGAGGCTTATTACTCACTACGAAAGATGAATCAAAAGTATAATTTAAGATACAAATCATGCAGGGACCGCAATGAAGTATACAGATGACACAGCTCACCTAAAATTCTTAACATTTTAAATACATGTATTTTTCCTTAAAGTGAAAGTTAAGGCCACTTCTCAAGGTCCTTTAACTCTCTTCACCAAATCCCCTTCCACCAATATCCTTTTTTTAGAAAAGGGATCATGAACTCCCTGGAGGTAGGCCAAGCTTAATACTACTTTTGGTCCCAATATCGCCCACCAAAGCACTAAGAACTAACAGATTTCAGAGTCACCAGTTCATCGATGTGGCCTCACATCTGAGAGATTAAGTAATAGCAGCTTTAAGTTATCTTCCATCCTATTCAACCATTACACACCAAGTCAGTGTAACAGAATCGAACGTATGTGGATGCTCCACAAATCTCTCCTCTTTCAACACTCTCCCCCAGTTCCACAGTATCATGCGGATTAAATAAAGTTCGCACTTTCTACAACTCTCAAAGAGCTAAATGCCTTCAAAAGTCTTTATATTATTAAGCACCAAAAAACAAGCGTCACCCTACCACCACCTGTTTGTCAGTTTAACTTTTTTGGAGTTAAGGGGACTAGAAAACACCACAAGAACCCATTACACTTATTTCAGCCAGAGACAACTGGAGCCTACCGGAAGCATCTTTCAAAATAGCTCCAAGGGTGAGGTCCAGAAGACAGACTGGGATACCAGCACGCGGTGGTGGAGACCCAATAATCCTGAAGGAGTGATTGTGTTCAGTGCAGGGCAGGTCACAGTGCCCAGCCCGAACTCTCCTGGCTACCACAATAGTCTCAAGAATAGCAATAACCTTCCTTTTATTTAATTTCGCCTCAGGGCTTTGAAGCATTAACAAAGTCCCTCTAAACGCTTAAGGATATATATAAAATGAAACATACTCTGTGGATTTTGACCAGTACCTAAGGGAGATTTAAGGGAGGAAACCCCACCAGGAGTGCTCTGACCTGGAGAAAAGGCTTGCCCCATTCCGCGGGTAACTGCGGCGCTGACCCAGGTGCGCCCTCCAGGCTTGCCTCCACCTCCGCCCAAGGCCCAGGCAGGCCAGAGAGGGCAGGCGGAGCGCGCAAGGGCTGCAGCGGTGTGGCCCGTGCCCGCGGCTCCGGGGTGAGCGCACAGCCACGGTCCAAGGGCAACCGTTCCAGCCCACGAGGCGTCCGCCCTGCGCGCACCTGGGCTCCAGCACCCCAGCACTGCGCGGGTAGAGTGCGGAAAGAGGATGCGAGAAAGCAGGTGCCGTGGTGAATCCCTCGCCAGTCCGAGCACACACTTGTCGGTCGGAGGGGCACGCGCGGGCCGATGGAGGCCGTCGAGCCTGTGAAGAAACAAAAGCCAAACGCCCACCGCCGGGCGCTCGGTGACCGGGGGCTGG